CCGGTCCCTTTCGAAGTCGGCAGCCCAAGACCCCTTCCTTTGTCTTCGTTCCCCTTTTAAGACCTTCCCAAGTCCTTGTCCCGCCGACCGTCCAATCGGGAACCTTGCTGCGAGCCGATCCTCCGACGTCAGCGCTGGGTGAGGGGGGCGCTTGCCCCGTTCCTCCCGGAGAGCTCGGACATTCCGCGACATGCCGGCGACTGGAAACGGGAAGGTCACAGGGAACGAAGGAGCGCCCGACAATACGGCGGCGGGGACCGGCAAGGTCACGGAGCGCGGGGGAGCCAGGGAGAGGGTCCCCACACCTCCCCTCCCTCAAGGCTCGGACCCCGGGGGGCCTGAGGTTGCGTGGTCCCCAGGACCCTTGGCAGGGAGCTCGTTCAGCTGAGCGTCGCCGATGACGACGAGCGCCCTCGATGATGATGATGGCATCAAACCAGCCAGGTCAGCGGTGAACGTCCATTCACTGGGAAGCTCGTCACCGACGGAGCACGGTCCACGAACTGGTCCGGAGCACCACAGCTCACAACACGGACGGGCACTCAGGCACACACAACACGCCGGCTCTTAAGGTTCGCTTCCGTCCCCAATGTAGCAGACAGCGAATCGCGCAAAAACGAATAGCGGCACGCTATATCAGACAGCGCGACGAAACCAAAATCTTTCGATCGTTGGACATGCCACGAAATAAAAACGAAACTCTTCATCTCAATACTAGCAGGCAGGCAATCATCAAGAACATCACGCTGCGCGTTCATGAGGTACTTAAGTGGAAAACTATTCCTTAACTAAAAAGTATGAGCACTCAATGCATACTTAAATCGTACATACGCCCACTATACAACATTTGCTCCTATCAAACTCAACCGCATCTTTTAAAACAGAAAACAATCTACCAGAGCGTCACAACCGCACACCTCTGACAACAATATTAATCTCAAACACACTCGCGAAGAACGCACAAAACCTCAAAAACTAAGAATAACCTTCCGTAAAACAGAAACGGTCACAAATCCAGTCCCGTTCGCGAGGTGTGACTCGAAAAACACGCTGCCAACAACCCATGACGGGCACTCATGCACTCGGCGTTCACGCTACCCGAGCTACAAACACGCTACAGCCAAGCT